CATGATCCATTACAGACTCAAGTCCAGAAAAATTAAACCCTATCTCAACTCTGTAGGGTTTTACTTAACTGCCCCCTGAAAATTTCCTTGCTGTGGTCAAATCTGCCAACATTAACTTTTCACAGGTCCGAGAGCCCAAACTTTCTCAGTTCTACTAACCCAGAGACTTCTAATTCTCCTGATTTGAAAGTGTCACAAACCAAACCTTTCTGCTGATTTATACTTTATTGTCACATGTACTCAAGTACAGAAGTATAGGAGTATAGTGAAAGGTGTACAATGTCGCCACACACAGCGCCATCTTAGGTACAAAAAAACTTAGCTACAAAGTAGTAAAAGAGAGAAACAAAGTTAAAATGTTAAGCATTACATCATAGTATAAGTAGAAAAATAAAGAAATAATGTAATAGTTAACATTAAAGTCTTTCTTAATATAAACTAGAAAAATAAAGAAATAGAGGTAAAAGTTCAATAGTCTTTCTTGAGTGCTTAGCCATAATGGGCCCCCAATCTCCTCTGCTTAGCTTGCTGTCTGGGAGAACTCAGCTGCCTGTTCTCGACGACACCGCCGCAGATATGGGGGGGTTTAGTATAGAAGGGCAAAATGTGTCGGCGCAGGCTTGGAGGGCCGAGGGGACTGTTTCTGTGCTGTAGTGTTCTTTGTTCTTTGACCTCGCTCACTGCTCGCTCTTCACGTGTTGGTCTTGACTCCAAACAACAAAGTCCATGCTCCAGATCCAACAATGCCACGATAACATCGCTGCTGTTGCTGCCGCTAAAGCTGCCACCTCTGATCTCCTCCGGCTGCCTCTGGAACAAGGTGGCTTGTTCCCTGAACTGCACTAAATCCTACTTCTCAGAGAGAAACCAAACTCACTTCTGAAGTTTCTAAAGTCTTCTGAATGCAATTTTAAAAAATGCTGCAACTTATATTCTTATAAACTGAAAACAGAGCTAAGAGCCTTACATGTTAATCCTACCTATTGTAAACATAAAAATATAAACATGCTTCCATTAACATCACAGCAGTCCATTGTCACCTGCTTTCTGACATTATGTTGCATTTAAATCATTGTTTTTGTTTTTGTTCAAAAGAAAACATTTCACAAAGTAACCAACACCCACCTGAAAATATTTAAAATCCAAATTCCAAAAATGATAGTTATAAATACATATTATACACTTTTCATCACAATACAAACATTTTCCCCTTTCAGTGTTTTGAAGGGACCACCTCTCCTTAATTCCCTAGTTCACACCTCAATCACCTGAAAGACAACTCTCCATCTGTGTAGCACGCTGCCATGTAAATGCAGGAGATGCAACACCTGTCCTCTTACCTCCTCTTTTCTTGTTATCTAAGGTCCCGAACACTCCTCAACGTCAAAGAGCAATTTATGTTTACTTCTTTAAATTTAGTCTACTGTATCCGCTGATCACAACTGGGGGAGACCAAATGTAGACCAATAGAGGGAGGACATTGAAATGTAGTAGTGGTAGGAGAAAGTACAATTAGGGGGATAGACACTGTTCTCTGCAGCTATGAGCTACAGTCCCGAAGGTTGTGTTGCTTGCCTGGTGCCAGAGTTAAGGACGTCTTCTTGGGACTGGAGAAGACGTTTGAGTGCAAGGGGAGGGATATAGTAGTCATTGTCCATGTTGGTACCAATAGCAGTGGTAGGACTAGAAAGGATGTTCTGCTGAAAGATTTTGAATAGTTAAGGACTAAATAAAAAAGCAGAACCACCAAGCTAATAATTTCTGGATTACTACCTGAGCCATGGGTAAATAAAGTTAAGGAGTTAAATGAGGGGTTTGCAAGATTGGGCTGGGTGGATGAATTTCACTTTTGGTAGCACTGGCACCAGTACTGATAATGAAGCCAACTGTTGTGCTGAGATCGGTTTCATTTGAATAGTAGTAGGACCAGTATTCTGGTGAATTGAATAAATTAAATTAATTAGATGGGGGAAGAGGTTTGGAAGAGGAGAAATGTACGATTACAAAGCAAGAGTATATGGAAGTGTAACAGGACAGCTATTTAGCTAATGATACCCAGCATAGGACAGGAAGGGATAGAGTATAAAAACATAGGAAGATAGCGTAAATATGGTGAAAAGGGCAAAAAAAATCGTAAAAAGACAAAATTAATGGCTCTTTACTTCAATGCATTTAGTATTCAGAACAAATTAAATGAATTAATGGCACCAGTACAATCACAGAGAGATGTGGGGACAAAGTCCTTGTGTGTATTTAAAGCAGAGACAGATTCTTGATCACTAGGGGAATCAAGTGTGATAGGACAAGGGCAGGATGTGGATGTGAAGGATGTCAGATCAGTAAATATCCTATTGAATGGAGGAGTTGGCTTGTGGGGCCAAATGGCCTACTCCTGTTCCTATTTCTTACGGTCTTATTTTATAGTTATTATGGAATCATGGATACAAAACGATCAAAGCTGGGAACCAAATATTCCGGGGTATAAGACTTTTCAAAAGTACAGGCAGGAAGGAAAGAATGTTGCGATTGTATTGTTGGTATTGGATAGAATAAATACAACAGCAAGAAATTATTTGGATCAGAAGATGTAGAATCCAGATAAGAAATAACAAGGGGAAAAAGACAATGAAAGGAATAGTCTACAGGCTCCCTAACAGTAGCTATATGATGGGACTGAGAATAAATCAGAAGATTGTAACAACATATTATGTATGCATTACAATAATCATGGGTGACTTTAATTTTCAGGTAGATTGGGATAATGAGACTGGCAGAGATAGCCATGAGGAAGAATTCAGAGAGTATATTCGGGACAGTTTCCTAGAATCGTACTGTGGATCCAACCAAGGATCAGTTTATTTTGGATTTGCTGATAATGTAATGAAGCAGTTTAGTAAATGATCTCACCAGTAAAAGATCCCTGAGGATACAGTGACCATAACGTTGTATAATTTAGCATTCAGTTTGACAGAAAGGAACGTGGGTTGGAAACAACTGTGCTAAACTTAAATCAGAGTACTTACAAAGGAAAAAGCATAGAGCTGGCTGGGTGGACCAGGACAGGAACTCAGCAGCAAAGGCAGGCACCATCTCTTCATCACTGGCCCCACTTCACCAGCAGGCCACCAGTGCCCATTTTCGCCCTGCAACCAGGAGCCACTGGCTCCACTGCTGCTGTCTCGCTGATAACCAGGAGACCCCATCTCAGGCCTACCACAACCAGGAGTCCCTGGCTGTGCTGCTAGGGTAGGCTGCTGACTCACCAGGAGTCCCACTTGGCCGCCCTCCTCCACGATGTCACTTTCTCCGCTGCCACTGACAGGAAGAAGATGTAGAAAAGAAAAAGTAAAAGAGAAAGAAAAAGAAAAAGAAGGAAGACAAGAAGGGTAAGGAAAGAAGGGAGGAAGCAGCCAATCTGGAGTGGATGGGCCCCAAATGCTGCCTACCTTGATGGTGCCACCTCCTTGCCTACCTTGCTGGAATACCCAACTGGGCAAAACCTTGTAATAAGATGGAATATAATGAGGAAAAATGTGAGTTTATGCACCTTGGCAGAAAGAATAGAGGATCTAAATATTATTTAAATGGAGAAAGACTGCAGAAATCTATAGAACAGAGGATATGAGAGTCCTCCCCCATGAATAATTAAAAGCTAACATCCAAGTTCAGCGGATAGGTAAAGCAAACGGAATACCGACCTTTATTTCAATGGGAATGGTGTATAAAAATAAGGACTTTTTGTGAAAATTATATAGGACACTAGTCAGATTGCAGCCTGGAATACTGTGAAAAGTAATAATATCTAAGAAACAACATACTGGCATTGTAGGCAGTCAAGAGAAGATTCACTCAGCTGATCCCGGGTTGGAGGGACTGTTTTACGAGGAAATGTTGAGTATATTAGGCTTGTATTCATTAGAATTTCAAAGAATGAGAGGAGGCCTTTATTGAAGCATATAAGACTCTTAGTGGACTGGTCAGGGTAGATGCAGAAAGTTTGTTTCCTTTTGTGGGAGAGTCTAGGATCACAGGGCATAATCTCAGAATAAAGGGTGACAAATTTAAAACAGGAGGAATTTAAGTAGGAATTTCTTCTCTCACAGGGTAGTGAATCTGTAAAACCTTTTACTGCATGCAGATGGATAGTGAGGCTGGGTCATTAAGTATATGCAAGGCCAAGGCAGACAACTTTTTAATCAGTAAGGAAATCAAGGGTTATATGTTAAAAGCATGATCATGGAGTTGAGGATTATCAGATCAGGCATAATCTCACAGAATGTCAGAGCAGAGTGGATGGGCTGAATGACCTACTTATTCTTATATTTTATGGTTTTCCAAGTGATCTCCTTGCCAAAAACTTCTATTCAGTTTTCAAGCATGACCCCGAGCTTCTATGATGGCCTGTCATTTTAATTCTCCACCTTGCTCTCAACACTAACATTTCTGTTATTAGTCTGTAGCACTGATCCACTGAAACTCTCTGTAGGCAAAAAGGAAGGTCATCTTTCGATCAAGTGCTTTTCCGCCTTCTAGGCGGAAAACAGTCTAGCAAGTTGACCATGTACTTTAAACACGTTTTTGCTTCCTTTGCACGATTCAGTTTTTATCTAATTTTCGTTGTCAGACAGCAGTACGCCAGCGCGAGATGTATATTTCTTTATTTTCCAGTCCCATCACAATTTTCATTGCCCTGTAAGACTGACTCTCTGTCACTCAATCTCCCCTGGCCCCCACCGCCATCACAACTCTCCTTTTGTCTCTCCCACTCCGGCACAAAACGTATTACACCTCTACTGCAGCTCTGATGAAATGTCATCGAACTGAATGGTTAACTCAGTTTCACTTTGTATTCAGTACTCTCCTGGGTATTTCCACTTTGTTCTATTTTTATTTCAGATGTCCTGCGTATGCAGTATTCTGCTTTTCGAGCGCACCAACCTCATTGTTTCCCTCTGCATATCACCAGATCCTCCAAAGTCACTTTGAAGTAGTAACAATACCTTTTTAACAGTAGACAAGAAGCAGTCACAAAACGCTGTTGAGAGAGAATCTCACGAGCCGTTTACCTACAAAACAAATCAATTTGATATCAGTCAGCGCTAAAATGCCTCTACTCAAAATAACACAACTTATAAGAATCCAGACGAAACTCTACCCGGTACCACCACCATCACCCGGTACAAGAACCATCAATGTGTACAGGCACCATCACCGGATGCAGGAACCAATCACCGGGCGCCTGCACTGGGTACCACCAACATCAACCCATTCTGCCACCATCACAGATTACCAAATTCAGATGGCCTTGTTCCTGTGAATATCATTCACACACTTCTCGGTACTAGAAACCAAACTGCAAACGTCCGCTCATCATCATTCACCGTTTATTCACTTCCCTGAACGTTCCATCGCATTGCTCGAGCCGTTCCCGGTATGTGTTAGATTGACGACTCTCACATTCAATCAGAAGCGGTCATTCAGTCGTCTGGTAACGTCATGCGGAAAGGCACCAATGGACACACGACAGAGGCGGGGCTTGAACTCGCCATCGGCCTCGCCCCGGTGGGTGGTACCACGTGACGCCTGCGCCACGAGACGTACACGAATAAGGCGGAGACAAGGTCGGTCTACAATAAGGCCGGGTCTTAGTGGCGTCATGACAATCGAGCTCAGCGCGTGTTGATTGGCCAACAGGCGGTCGGATGGTTTGGACCAGTGTCAGCTGAGGTCGCGGTAATGTGAGGGCTGCGAATTTTTTAGAGGGTGGTGGTCTTAACTGCATCTCGCCTACTATTAAAAAGGTATTGTTACTAGTTCAAAGTGACTTTCGAGGATCTGGTGACATGTAGAGGGGAACAATCAGGTTTCTGAGTATTATTTGCCCCGATGTTCCTTAAAAGGGTTTTTTTTTGAACGTTGACAATTGACGATATTTTCAGTATTTCTTCATAGAATTGCTAGAGTTTTACGGCATGTAACGAGGCCCTATAGCTCGTTTTTTTTAAGCCTACCTACGTAGCCAAGTCCCATTCTGTAGAAGAGACAGAACGCTGGACTGACCAATCCCCACCCTAACTCCCCACCTACACTCGCCTTTACTGGCTCCATCCCCGCCTCCTTGACCTGTCCGTCTCCTCTCCCACCTATCTGCTCCTTTTTATCCATTTCCATCCCTCCCCCCTCCTGTTCTGCCATTCAATATGATCACATAACGGACACATTAGTGATAATTTTCCAGCATTCTATAGAATTGGGAAGATTCTCCTTGTCCACTCTACTGGTCACATCCTCCCAAAATTCCAGAAGATTTGTCAAGCATGAATTCCCTTTAGTGAATCTGTGCTGACTTGGACCGATTCTGTCACTGCTTTCCAAGTACTTCCTTAATAATTGACTCCAGTGTTTTCCACACCGCCAATGTCAGACTAACCAGCCTATAATTCCCCATTTTCTCTCCCTGTCCTTTTTTAGAAAGTGGGGTTACGTTAGCTACCCTCCAGTCCATTAGATCTCTTCCTAATTCTAGAATGCTGGAAAATTATCACTAATACATCCGCTATTTCTAGGGCCACTTCACAAAGTACTCTGGGATGCAGAGCATCAGGCCCTAGGAACTTACAAACCTACAGCTTGTAACCTCTGTCCTTCGCTCAAGATCATATTGGACGGAATCAAAGAGCTGAATGGCCTCGTATTCCTCCCACTTTCTACATTTCCATGAATACTTCTAACTAATTACTTATTGGAACTGGCAGTTCTAAGATAGCATTTTTAGCAAAGGTAGCATTCTCACTTTGGTTAATGAGAAATCTGGTGTGTAATTAAAGGATGTCAGTACGTGAAAATCAGCAAATCATGTATTACACCAGACGTTAACAGGACATTGTTATGGAACTGCCTTTTTTTTTAATTCATTCATAGAACATGGGTGCCATTAGGAAAGCCTGCATTTATTGCCCATTCCTAATTCCCCTCAAAAATTTGGTGTAACCCATTTGGTGGAGGTCATACAATGCTAACTTGTAGGATTAACAGTAGGTCAGTCAGCTCCTCAAGCCTGCTCTGCCATTCAATAAAATCTCATTATCTCTCATTCCTTACTGTACCCTGATGACCTTTCACACCATTGCTTATCAAAAATCTATCCACATCTGCCTTTTCTTTTTTTTAAAAAAAAAAAAAAAATGTTCAGGCCTACTTCCACCACATTTTGGAGAAGAAAAACTTTAAAGACTCATATCTAAAAATTTGCCCTCATTTCTCTCTACATTGATAACCCTTTTTAAACAGTGAGTTCAAATACTAAGTTCCCCCACAAGTGGAAACAGTTTTCCTCCACCAGCCATGTGAAAAGTCCTGGGTATTTTACACAATTTTATCTCTTATGAATTCCAGCAAATATGTGCCTAACTTGTCTCACCTTTCCTCATAAGGCAACATACCTATTTCAGGTATTAGTCTGGTAGACCTTTCCTGAACCGCTTCCAACACATTTACATCCTTCCTTAAATAATGAGACCAAACTGTAACAGAACTCCAGTTGTAGTTGCACCAATGCCCTATGTAAATTAGATGACAGCTATCAAACCCACGACCACTACCACCTAGAAGGACAAGAACAGCAAATACATGTGAACACCGCAACCTGAAAGTTCCCTCCAGCCACTCACCATCCTGACTTGGAAATATATTGCTGTTCCTTCAGTATTACTGGGCCAAAATCCTGGAACTCTCTACCTAACGGTGTTGTAAGTGTAGGTATCTAGGAGCTTAACAATTTCTCACCATTTGGATAATATGCCTTTTTTATTATTCCTGCAGAAATTGGCATTTAAATGGCTGGTCCAGTTATAGGTTTTTGTCAATAGCAACCTTCGGGCTGTTGATAGTGGGGGATTCAGCAATAGCAATGCTGTTGAATGTCAAGGAGAGATGACTAGATTTTTCTCTTGTTGGAGTTGTTCATTTCTTGTGACTTGTTTGGCCTGAATGTCACTTGCTATTGCAGCTAAAGCCTAAATGTTATCCAGGTCCCCTTGTATATGGGCGTGGACTGCTTGAACTGTGGAATTGTAAGTGGAACTGAACATTGTGCAGTCATCAGCAAACATCTCCACTTCTGATATAAGATGGACGAAAAGTCATCGATGCAGCAGCTGAAGATAGTTGGAGTAGTACTCTGCCCTGAGAAATATTATCAATGAAATCCTGGGTTAAGATGAAGTTATTCTTAACTAACATCTGAATTTGAAATTTTTTTTGTCCATGTTCGGACCAAGACTGTATTGACGTCTGGAGCTAAGTAGTCCTGGCAGATCACAAACTGAACAAAACAACATACAAAATAGGAGCAGGAGAAGACTAAGTCATCAAGATTGCTGTGCCATTCAATATGATCTTTTTTTTTTGATTCAACCGCATTTAGCATGATGGCAGTGTCCTATGACACAATGCAAGGTGTCTGAAGTCTCAGAACAAATCTAGCAGCTCAAACTTAGACACCCATGAGGTACGGTGGGCCATCAACAGCATCAGAATTATATTTGACTATCACCTGTTAACTCATGACCTACCATATATGCCACTCTGCCGTTAACCTCAAGCCAGGGAATCAAATAAAAGCAAAATGCTGAAAAACTGAAATTAAAAAAACAGAAAATGCTGGAGAGTGTCCGTAGGTCTGGCAGCATCTGTGGAGAGAGAAGTAATGCTAATACTTTGGGCCCAATTACTATTCTTTGGAGCCATTCAGTTCTGAAGAAGAGTCCTATCGGACTCAAAGCATTAACTCTGTTTTTCTCTCTCCACACATTCTTCAAGACTTGCTCCGTTGCTTCAGGATTTTCTGTTTTTAGGCCAGGGAATCAACCTGGTTCAATTCAGATGTAAGGGAGTTTTGCCAAGTGCAGCATCGGACACACTTAAAATGAAGCACCAATGGAGTATAGCTGCAACACAAGAAAACATTCAAGAAAGCTGCAGAAGCGGCATGTGACAGAGTTAACCAGCTACACAACAAAGTGGAAACTTGCTCCTCCAGTGCTATAGTTTGATGTCCCCCTGTCTATCTCACGTGTTCAGCTCCTCACCTTGACTCTAATGGAATTGGAAGTACCTAGTCTATTGGAACAAAGTATCAGGTCGTGTTCTCTCTGCTGCAGTGTCCAAAGCTCAGAATCCAGCTTATCATGAAGCTGATGTTCCCCAAGCTGGAAACTCTTTCTAGAAATGTGATTACTATAGATCACTAATGTGCCCACCAGCACCAGCTGCAACGTATCTCCTGCCAGGTGTCTTAACTGTACCTGGAACAAATAGGAAAGGTTTGGAGGGATATGGGCCAGGAGCAGGCAGGTGGGGCTAGCTTAGTTTGGGATTATGTTCGGCATGGACTAGTAGGACCAAAAGGTCTGTTTTCCGTGCTGTATGACTATGATTTGTGTAGGAAAGTGGCTACTTCAGGAGTATATCCACAGAAATGCAGCTGAGTGTTGATTGGGGCCCATTCAGTTGCTCATATTGGCTGAAATCTAGCATCTGTGATCAGAAGGTAACGAGTATAGATCACTCACATGACACTTCTAGTTGAAAGTAATTGCTAAATCTTCAGTTGCATGTTTTACAGTCACCTGCTGGATTCCCCCATCTTTGAAGTTGGGATTTGTTTTTTGGAGCCTTCTACTCTTGTTGGTGGTTTAATCTACCACCACCATTCATGACTGCAATATTTTGGTTGACTTTGCTGCTTCTATTTAACTTGTGTTGTTCTGTGTTGCAGCTTCACAAGATTGCATAAAATTTAGATGCCATATCTAATGGTGTTTGTAGCATATTGTTCTACATTCATAATTGAAACAGCATTGATTTCCTCCTAGATAAAGGGGATAATGATAGAATGAAGGATGTGGAGGGTGGTTTAATATAATTCTGGTGCTACTAATAACCTACAGCAGCAAATGGATAGCACAGCGGGGCAGGGGATGGTGGGGAGGTGGGTGGTAGTACAACATGATGAAAGATGTCATCAATATGAACTCAAGATACTATCTCCACGAGAATTCTGAAGTGAACCCTCCTATCAATACAATCATGGACAGATGCATCTGCAGTATCCATGAAGGTGTTGCTGGCTGGGCCAACTTGAATTTTCCATCCCTAATTGTCCAGCAGGCAGTTAAGAGTAAGACATATATATTTGTGTGTCTGGAGTCACATATAGGCCAGACCAGGTTAGAAAGAAAATCTGTCATTCTTAAGGACATTAATGAACTAAATGGACCTTTCATGCCAATCGACAGTAGTTACATGGTCATCATTGGGCAATCACTTTTTTTTTCAACTTTCAGATGTTTCTTTCATTGAATTCAAATTTCATTAGCTGCCATTGGTGGGATTCAAACCCATGTCCCCAGAATATTATCCTGAGATTCTAAATTGAGTCTAGTGACATTACTGAACTACACCACCTAATTGCAAGCCTGGTGTAGCCTGTCCTTTGTAGGTCAACTAAGCTGTTACTGTAACTATTAAGCCATTCTAGATGATGAACATTCAAATCACCCAGTCAGAGCACAGTCTGTGCCCCTGCTACCCTCAGTGTGCTTGGAAGCACACTATCAACAAAAAATTCGAATATTGCCTACTGCCCTCATTTGGCAGAATTCAACAGGAAATTTCTTCACCTATGATTGTCCCCATGCTATATGACTTGGTGGGAATCAAATTTCAGGGGGCTAAGAGAAGTCAGCTTTGAATCCTACCAAGTAACATTCTTGCTATGAAGGAAATTGATATTTTAACTAATGTTGAGTATTCCCAGAGCAATTGCACACAACTGTATATTATTGTGCCATCATATCTATGGGATCTGTCCAGCCAGTGGGACAAGGCATACTCGGGAATGGTGACAAAGATTGGATCTAGGACATGGTTGTAGGTTACCATTCCATTAGTATGACATCACTGCTATTGTTCCCAATTTTTCCATAATTCCCCAGATGTTAGAGATAAGGACTTCACAGGCCATCAGGAAGGGTTATGCCTTTGTGCTTAATGCCTAGGTCATTTCTGAGAAGTCTGTTCCATTTTATTTTTAAGGACTTTTGCATAACAATTTGATACAACTGAGTGGCTTACTAGACTTTTAAGTGTCAACTTTATTGTTATGTATTGGCCAGACCGGATAAATAGACCAGTAAAATTGATCCAGTTGTTTCATGGTCACCATTTCTGATAATATCATCGTATTCCTACTTTATTTGATCAGTTGAATTTAAATTTCCCAACTGCTATCATATCATGGGGCTGGAGTACTGTGTACAGTTCTGGTCGCCCTGCTATAGGAAAGATATTGTTAAATTGGAGAGGGAGTTTTTTTTTTTCACTGGAGTGTGAGGTTGAGGGGTGACCTTAGAGGTTTATAAAATCATGAGAGGCATAAATAAGGTGAATAGCAAAGATCTTTTCCTTAAGGTTGAGGAGTTAAAAATTCGAGGTTATAATTTTAAGGTGAGAGGAGACAGACTTAAAAGGGATCTGAGAGGCAACTTTTTCACGCAGAGGGTGGTTCATATGTGGAATGAACTGCCAGAGGAAGTAGATGCAGGTACAGTTACAGCATTTAAAAGACACTTGTATGTGTAGATGAATAGGAAAGGTTTAGAGGAATATGGACCAAACACAGGCAAATGGGACTAGTTTAGTTTGGGAAACTTAGTCAGCTTGGACAAGTTGAACCATGCTGTATGACTCTGATTCTAATCTAGTAACAGAACCACTATGCTACTGTTCTTATCTTTGCAGATTCATAATTTTGGACCAATCCAATTTATCAGAAAGGGAAAGTATATTGAATACAGTTACCGTAAGAATTGACATGGTGTGGTAACTTCATTTATGTTCTTTTTATATAAATCTAGTCAGGAAAATAAATTACTGTTAAATATCTATGTTAAGAACACAGCATTATCATGTATTATTTCAAACTGAATCAGTTATGCCTTATGTTGAAAGTGATGACCATAAAATAAGACTTGCTAAATGTTTTGCTGTGAAGACTGCTGTGAATCAAGTTTATAACTGTTGTACAAAATTTGCTTTGATATTATATCATTTTCTTGATGGAACTATGCATTTCCATTTCAAGTAACTATCCACTTCTTAATTAAAATGTACTATATTCATTTCTAGCTTAAGATCAATAGAAAAGTTCGCTAATGGTAAGCTCCACCTCCTAAGGTCAGGTTAAACAACAAAATTGAAATATATAACAAGTAGACATGTTTGAAAATAGAACGGCATCCTAAAGTTTGTAATGAAAATAGTGTCCTGTCATGTCTTTCAATGGATTATCAATGTGTTGTAAGTTTAAGTCCATGTGGTGTATGTACAGTGGTATATGGATATAAAATAACCCAATCACAAATGGACTAAACCCCTTTATGTGTAACGAAGTCATGTACTTTAAAACTGAAGCAAATGTTATGAGGCTAAGAGAAGTAACCATTGAATCCTGCCAAGTATAAGTCTTGCTGTGAAGGAAAGTTTATATTTTGGTTTTGGTAGCAGGGGACAGAAAAATAATGAAGTGCCTGCTGTGATCTGTACTAACGTGAAACTTCTGGCAGAGTTATTCAAGGACATATTCTTGTGAGAATTTTCTTAACCTATTTTTCATATGGAAACTTTAAGACAATGGATTAGAAGGGAAGTAGTAGGAGTAGTGATGGGAATGGGGAGAGTAGTAGAAAACAGGAGTCAGAATGGGAACAAGAGGCAGGCGTGTGGGTGTATGTGGCATAGTGGTGGTGTCACTGGACTAGTAATCCAGCAGCCTTGGCTAATGCTCTGTATTCAAATCTAACCATGGAGGCTTGTGGGATTTGAATTCAGTTAGTAAATCTGCAATATAAAGCACGTCTCAATAATAATCCTATGAGACTATTAAGTGATTCTCATTAAAAACCCATCTGCTCCACTTTATTTACCTAATGTAATGTTGCAATTCTGTCATTCTTACATGATCTAGCCCACATATAACTCCAAATCTGTAGCAATGTGATTAATTCTTAGTAGTTTTCTGGACTAGTGCAGAAGACAGTTGAGAAATAATGTAGAAGAGCTGAGAAGACAAACAGCAACATGAAGGCAATAGAGACTGGAAGGAATGAGATCCCCAACTTGTCTCTCACAATGTATTAGGAATCTACCAATACCTGTGTGTTCAAAAGGAACAAGACTCAGCCAACCACTCATGATCAAAGAATACTTTAGAAATTTGTAATATCAAATCACAATAGTATGAAGTAATCAATGGAATGCTAATGAGATGTAAAGCACACATTTGGCAAGAACTGTATGCTGTTCAATTTAATTCATGCCTGAATCAATAAAGCTTTAACCTCAACTCCTTCCTGATCAAACAAATTCTGTATTTTTCTCACAGGACCGCTCTTCCATTTTTGAACTGAGTGATGTTTTTTAAATTGGATTTTCTGTTGAGTAAGACAAAAATAATTAAAATGTCCTGTTCTCTCCATAGCTAGATCTTTGAAAGAAAGTACTTGCAGCTATTTTAATTTCTTTTAATTAAAATACACATTCTATTTTTTCCATTAATTACCAGAAAAAAATGCAGTACTCATCATGGTACCCTGTGCACTTGTAATTGTGAAAAAAAAACTGAAATACTTAAAGTTAGACAGACATCATCCAATTATGTATGAACTTCTCCATACTGAGAACTGTATGCCTGAACATCCTCAACTTTTAAATCTTACTCAGAATTTCTAAGTTGCAGAATTGTACAACTCACCAGCAACAAGTTTCAGCAACTGGGGGGACAGATTTTACCAACCTTGTCACACAAATTTCCCCCTTTTATTTCAACGACTCTATGCATAGAAACTATACACACAGATTGAAAGGATAAGAATTTTAAAATTGATATGTTGCTTTGTCAAGAGCTAGTGTCCATGCAAATCAGTGAGAACAGCAGTGATGGGTGAACAAATCTTGCTATGAGTTGGCACACAGGCTGTTGAGTTTTGGATGACCAAGTTTGTGCAAGGTTGAATACGGAGGCTGATTAGGAGAGTTTTGGAAGTAAAAATCAAAAAAGTGCTAAAGACATAATTATAGTTTTCAGAACTGAGGCAAAATCACAGTCAGATGATCTTTCAAAGAGGCAATTTTAGTGATGAGGTGAATGTGGTCAGCATCTCATCAGTATGATACGAAGATTGTGAACAACCTTGTTCAGCTGCAGATACATACTGGGGTAGAAATGAAATTGATGACTGAGGACCAGTTTATGGTGGTACCTGGTGGTGACCACCTTTCCTATTTTGAAGTTGCAGCAAATTTTTGCTCATCCGCTACTGGATGTCAGATAAGCAGTCCAAAAATTTGGAGAAGTGGTGACGTAGAGCTCAGAGTCCATTAATCAATCCTTAGAAATGCCTGAAGTAATATTGGGAGCAGAAAACAAAGCGGTTTCAGGAATTCTTTGGCTATGACTGTGTAGGTAAGGATGGAACAAAGAGTGCTGTCCCATGCAGTTAAAAGATGGTGGAAGGAGAGTGTTAACCTTGTCAAAGGCTGCAAATAGTTTCAAGACCATAAAGTGGGATTGTTTCCTTCTTTACAGTCGCATTGTATTTCATGTGTGACAAAAGCCATGTCAGTACTGTATCAAGCCAGAAACTAGATGGAGAGTTTCATACATGGCGTTCTCGGAAGTTTGCAAGTATGGGGGATTCACCTATGTTGGTTGAAGTTAGGTTTAAAGGAGATGAAGAAATTACTTGACGAGCATGGGCTATTGACAGCATCAATGAACATTGGAGCATAAAAAGGAAGTCAGGCAGTCTGTAGTTTAGTAGAAATAGAGTTAAGAGAACAAGAGATGGATCTCATGGAAAAGATACACTCAGAAGGCAGAAACAAGAGAGAAAAACTTCAGAGCTAGAGCAGGAGGATACCAGAAAAAGATTTGACCTGGTGGGATAGGGGAAGAGAGAGTAGCAGCAGAGGCAACTGAATGGATGCCGCAATCTGTAACAAAGCAGACTATGAACTTCATGATGAAGCATTTGAGAAAACGATACTAGTTTGATCCTGGGGGAAAAAAACTGCAGTTTGTTCAGAAAGGAGCACGAGGGGAGGCAATGGCTGGTGGTATTTTCACTGGACTGTTAATCCAGAGACCCAGATAATGTTCTGAGGCCCCGGGTTCGAACCCCACCACGGCAGATGGTGGAATTTGAATTCAGTAAATATCTGGAATTACGAGTCTAATGATGACTATGAATCCATTGTCGACTGTTGAAAAAACCCATCTGATTCACTAATGTCCTTTAGGGAAGGAAACTGCCATCCTTACCTGGTCTGGCCTATGTGTGACTCCAGACCCAGAACAATGTGGTTGACTCTTAACTGCCCTTTAGGCAATTAGGGATGGGCAATTAATGCTGCCTAGCCAGCGACACCCTCATCCCATGAATGAATAAGGAAAAGAAGAGAGCTGGTAGTGCTTTATGTGGTCCAGCAAAGCCTAACAATGAATGGATAAACCGTGTGTCCATCATATCCATTCAAGTCCATATCCCTTGGTTTTAAGGGAGTAGAGTTGAGGGTCTAACTGGGGAAAACAGCCAGGGTGAATGAAGATAATAGTTTGAATGAAATTTAGGGCATTGAAGGTGCATTTGAGTGAGGTTGAACAGTTTTAGTAGTGATAGTAATATCATAGTGAATGGAGGGCCATAGGCTAAAATTTGGGATTTTGAAAGAGCATTTGGCGTAAGTGAATTTGGAGAGAGTAGTTTTTCCAGGGGTGGTTACAAAGGGAGAAAGGGCTGAGAGGAAGAAAGATGATGTGGGGGGGGAAAAAGCATTACAGGGAAGTTTCAGAAATTATCTGCAATTTTTGTTAGTAGTGAGACCATGGGAATGACCAAGCTAAGGGGATGGCAATGAATATGGATTTGGGAGGCTTTTTTTTTTATTAATTGGGGGGGAGATTAGGACAGGATAGAAGGTGTGAACTCTGGCAAGACAGTGTGAAGATGGAAGTTGAACTCACTGAAGCTGAAAAGTTGCAAAGTGCAGGGAGAAAAGCTATTAAGACATTTCGATGAGAAAATATTTATGGTATTTGGGTGGTAGTAGAGAGTGAGACTTTTAAATGAGAAGCAACAGGTGTGGAACAACATAAGGTGTTTTGGGGTGGGGGGCGGTGAGCACTAGAGAAGTAAGGGATACATCAAATTTGGGGATAAAGGCTAGACCATTAACATAACTATCTTCACAGTATTTGTCAAGGAAAACAGAGCCAAGAGAAGAAACTTCATTTTGAAGGCAGCTATCGGCACCTATTTGCCAGATTAATGCACAATGTGCACCTCGATGGCAAAGACCTTCAAACAAGTAAAGAATTTCTGGAGAACAGTGAACGTTGACTTACATTGAGCCAGAGGACTCTCGGCATGTGTGGCCTGCCCCTGAGGTTATCCAACTAAACCTCCAGGGCCAACAGGCTCCACTATGTAGCAGCACCTCCTATCCCATCTGTGGAACTGTGAAGCTCAGTGCATCGCAGTGGGAGGGAGAGGAAGAGAAAAGTCTACTAATGCCACTTGGGAGCAATAGCTGGAAAACACACGCACATAGTTTATTCAGCATACAATGTGATATACATAGTTTGTGTTGTAAGCAATGTTTTAAAACTGAACTTTCAACATGACAATGTTATATCAATCACTGTTACATTTCATAAACCCTTGCATTTCTCTGTTAATGTAGTTGTGCCTTATCTGTTTTGCCTGTAGATGCCTTGATGCATACTGTGGTGTCTCTCCTTGCCTGCTAACAAGGTTC